GTTAATTTCAAAGTCCACTATTGGATATTACAATTTTATCCAATATAGAATTATTGCTTGAATAAATAATTAAATAATTAAATATTTAAGGACATAAAAGTCGATCAATATTTGAATGATATTTTTGTCGTTCAACATTTAGCGTAGAACATTCGTACTTTTATAATAATATAGATATAGACTTGTATTGTTAAACCATGTGTATGTTATTGCAAATGTTAGGTTTTTACCAAAGGATGTAGTGCAGTGGATGTGACCGCTCTTCCCTTAACCAGAGATCTCGAGTTCGAGTCTTGCGTATGGAAAAATCCTTGATACGGAGTGCTTACTCCGAATGGGGCCTTACGCGGCACGAATCTGGATATAGTCGGGATTCCAATGCGGGTACCGGACACCGGGTAAAAAAAACTATAAAAAGAGAGGATGAAATATCTTATCTAATGTAAACAAAGCTAAAGAAAAAAAATTGTTAGGTTTTTGGGTAATTATCTCTGATATATCTCCATTAGTTTATGTTTGCTAGTATTTATTAAGGTTTAGAAAATTGACGAGGTTCAATTTCGGCCAACTGGTAGAACGAAACTTACTGGCACCCGCGGTCGTTCATACACCATTTATCACATACATTAAAACCTCTTTGTAACACACTCATTTGTTTCGAATATTTTTATTTATTATAGCGAAGTACTGTTAGAGATAACATATGCTACTATTATAACATAACATAATTGATTCCATAAAAAAAATTGGCTTTTATAGCTAATAGTAGTTATATAACAATACAGTAATAAAGATGTCTGACCGTATATGTATTCTCACTTTATTTTTTAACCGCTATGGTTAAATTACTTTGCTTGGCATAAATATGGGGAGTAAATATTTACCATGGTAGAACAGAATTTCAGATCATAACTTTTTTCCTTTCCCTTGCAGGCAAGGAGAAGGCGCATATATGAAACATAAAATTCTCCAATCTGCAGGAAATCCCACATCGAGAGCTAACAAAAGCCAGAAAGGAGAGGACTGATATAAAAGCGGAAGGCCGTGCACAAGGTAAAGCACACCTTTCTCGGCCTTTTGGCTAAGATCAAGTGTTGTATCTGTTCTTATCAGTTTAATATCTGATATGTGAGTCATCGACTCACACGATATTAACTTAATTTTTTAAGGGGGAGAGTTCATTAGGGTAGCTTGCTACCTGGGCTCTCAAGTGTCGTCCATGTGTTGCACTATTGCAAGGGCCTGGCGCACCCCACCAAATCAAATCTAAATTTCAGCACTGGCCTTGATTTGTATTGCTTTATTAGTATATATTTTAGCGCTTAAACGATAGACTATGAAAATGTTACTGACTCAAGTAATATTCTCTATTCAATTAAATGAATACGAAGAAAGACTCTTGCTTTAGAATATGGACGTATTTATAGTAGACAATGCAATATTTATCTCCCTGTTTTAGTCGGGTTACTATCGTATTGCTCGCCAAGGAAAAGAATTGATATCATAGCTCAAATTTTGTCGTCCAATCCTTCGACTTATCTCAACCTCAAAAGCTAGCTCAAACGATGAAGATTGACATATAATGGCTTGTGTATTTATACTTTATTACTTACCCTCCTGTACCCTATCATGGTTTCATTTTGTATTACTTTCTGGAGTCCCGTTACTACAAGATAAAAACACTATTGTGTCTCAAATTTTATAGAGAATACAATAATACATTATGATGTTATTTTTCTTCACGTTGTAATATTATGTATTTCATAAAAACGGAACACATTTAAGGGTTGAGAAGACATACTTAGAAAAAAGATCTTGTAAATGTAAAAGAGAGTGTTTTCTCTTTCTTCATTAGTTGATTAATCCCACATCGGCCAATAGAAACAGAGAATGAACAAATGCTGTAGAATAAAATATGAGCTGGTCTGACAAAATAACATACTTACCTGGACGGGGTCAATGGGCGATCAAAAAGACTCATGGCCTAGGCTTGTGACCTCCATTGCACTTTGGAGGGGTGTTAGCCTAAGATCGGCCCAAGTGGTTGAGCCTACGTCATAATTTGTAGTAGTGGGGGCCTGCGTTCGCGCGGCCCCTATCCAATCCTCAGTTCAATCTTTGTGGTCCGGCCCACATCAGCTTGAAGTATACCCAAGCAAACTCTAGTCGCTACTGAAATAGTAGCTTGTTGTCCCAGGAGAGCGTTATTGCATAAGTGTATATCATTTGTTATTTGGAGACTTGGATCTTCCAAGTAAATAAAATTTTATCTAAAATTTTTCTCTCTTCGAATGAAAATTTTCTAATATTTTAGTTTGTCGTTATTTTGTTTTCACTAAATGACTTCTGGCCATGTCTAGTTTTTTAAAAGCCAATACATAAACGTTCTACTTTCACATTTAAACACTCAAATTTATTTTTTCGGTAACTAATAAACACATCTATAATAAGAGACCTGTGCCAAAGGCGATTTCAAGAGGATGTGTGCACTATTGTGAAGACGTGGATTTAAAATTACGTGTTTAACTTTAGTCTCTTACCATAAACTCACTACATATTAAAATTATATATCAATACCATTTTAAATGTATTTGGTGATTTTCACGTATATATCAATGCCCCGTGCCGAAAATAAGTCCGTCCGAAGTGGGATTTGAATCGCAATTTTACTTGTAAAGGTGCACCCAATAACTATTGCACCATATATTTAAGTAATTTTGAAAAAATATAACATAATTACACATGGTTTAGGGAGAAGAGTATGAGTTCACGTGAACCCATACCCTTAGGCCTAGATATGCCCCTGCCGTGAACCCATACCCTTAGGCCTAGATATGCCCCTGCACACACGTGTTCATCCAGTCAGCAAATGACCAATGGATGTCTTGCATATCAAGGGCGTGAAAACCCTAACCCAACAGATTGGGGTCCCCTCTTTTATTCCATTGACCGACCCCTGCCCTCATTTTAACCTCTTTAACCAAACCCTCCCCTATTAAACCTAGGTCCTAACAATCACTCACCCCCTTCCAAAATTGATCATAATCTCACTCACCCATTTTTTTGTTTTTATTTATTATCTGTTAATCTCGTTATGATCGAACTTCGTTTAGTCCAAGTGATGCAAAAACTTTTCATCATTTTCACGGTCTGGAAAAGGGAAAAAAATAGAAATGGAGCTTCAAATTTTAAAAAATGGAGGAAGGTGGTATTTTAGAAGGAATGAATAAGAATATACTTAAATACAACCCATTTTGTACCGTTGGGCATTGGGAAGGAGGCTTTCACGCTCCTGTGCATCGTGAGGCCTGATTAGGACCAACTGACGCTACATGGTCATGGTCAATGATTAAATGTGTTTATTAGTTACAGAAAAAATGAGTTCGAGTGTTCAAATGTGAAAATTAAAACTTTATGTATCAGCTTTTAAAATACCGTCAAGTTAAAGTGCGAGGAAGCCATTCCGCCTTTTCTTTAAGATGTACCCAAAATATTCCTATATAAACATAAGTTAGTGCATTAAATATTGCAACAAGTTGAATATTTATATAAGTTTGTTTTTACAATCCCGTATCAATTTAAGCACTTACGTTTGTCATGAAATAGAAACACGCGAAATCACTTTAATAAAACCCATGAATTTGATGTTAGGTTGACTAACAGACTCTTAAATGTCTATTTTCAAATTTCCCTATCAGAACAAGTTACAAGCAAATTCTGCTCCTATCACACCTTTAATCTGTGTATCTACTACTACTAGTATTTCCATACAACAATAATACCACAGCTGAGATTATCAACAAAGAATCATGTATAAAACCAGAAGTTTGATTAAATTAAGCCACTCTTTTATAGTTTGGAGTTCACATTATTTGCTGACTAATGATTATGGCCGCATTTTGAGGCGTCCATTCCTTTCAAGAACATATTCAAAACCAAAATCACCTATTCAAATACATATACAGTCACAACCCCACTTAGAATCTACCACAAGACAGTCCATTTGTAGCTTTAACAAAATGATTATGACGTTAGGCCGTCAAGGCAAAGTTAAAGAAGCTAGGAAGGTGTTCGACGAAATGCCTCAAAGAGATGTTGTTTCTTATGCTTCAATGATTACTGTTTATTTAAAACATAAGGATCTTCCTAAAGCTGAGAGGTTGTTTTATTCCATGCCTGAGAGAAATGTAGTGTCTGATTCTGCTATGGTTCATGCATATGCTAAAGTTGGCAGACTCGATGAGGCTCGAAGAATCTTTGAGCGAATGCCTGATAGAAACGTTTATGCGTGGACCAGTTTGATTTCTGGGTATTTTCAGAACCGTAGAGTGGATGAAGCTCGAAAGTTGCTTCAAGAAATGCCTGAGAAAAATGTGGTTACCTGGACTACAGCAATGGTGGGCTTTGCTCAAAATGGTTTGATTATTGAGGCACGGCGTATTTTTGATCAGATTCCTCAAAAAACTGTCATTGTTTGGACGGCGATGACCAGGGTTTATGTTGAAGATAGTCAGGTGGATCAAGCTCTTGAGCTCTTTGATAAGATGCCTGAACATAATTTATATTCTTGGAATGTTATGATTCAAGGTTGTTTACATGATAACAGGGTGAACAAAGCTTTGGAACTATTTAACGCAATGCCATGGAAAAATGCAGTTTCTTGGACAACTATCGTTACTGGTCTTGCACGAAATGGGTTGATAGAATTGGCAAGAGAGTACTTTGATCAAATGCCAAATAAGGATCCAGCTGCGTGGAACGCTATGATAACGGCCTATGTTGATGAAGGCCTAGTGTCTACGGCCAATGCACTTTTTGATTTGATGCCTAATAAAGATATTGTAAGTTGGAATGTAATGATTGACGGGTACACAAAAAGTGGCCTTGAGGGTGAAGCATTGAAGTGTTTCATTCTCATGCTTCGGTCGGGCTTAAGGTCTAATCAGACTACTCTTACCAGTGTAGTGACCTCGTGTGTGGGCATCTTGGAGTTATTGCAAG